TCAATCTAAATACTTTATATTGTCGATCACGAACTTTATATTCATTACGACTCCGATATTGCGGTCAGGAGCTTAAAGAGATCATGATCACGTATCAATTGATATTTTACTATTAATTTTAGGCACAGAGTTCCATGACTCCCAAATAACGAAAGTATATAGATTACTTTTATAGTAAATTTTTTTTGCCATGCTTGTTCACATCGGCTATGTTTATTCGACACTTATTTATAAGTATAATATAATTTTCTTGTGAATTTACGTAAGAAATAATATTACCGATTTGTGTTTGTGCGTTTGTGTTTAATAAAAATAGCTTGATCGTGTTTATATGCAAAAAATCACCGAATCCGTCGAAAACGCATGACATGCTTTCTTCCGCTTCTTCCTTTCTTTCTTCCTTTCAGTTCTTACCAATTCATGGCAGCTCCTGCCACGAACGTACCACGCCGTCTCTTGCCATGGTTTTATGGCGCTATTACCGGTATATTCACAAATTCATGTACCATATTTCAGTTTATCATGCGGAATTATACCTACTTAATCCCTAACCCCAAATCCATCAAAACTGTATCCATAAGAAAAACGTTCAAACTCACCCAGTATTTATCACCATCAGCGGATCAACGGCAGCCCTGCTATTACAGCCGACCTGCCGTGGTTAGGGCAGCAAAATTAGTGGTATTCGATTTACTGCCGTCGTAACGGCAGCTCGCTATCGGTTTGTGGCAGCTAAAAAGTCAGTCGCCATGGGTTTGGTCATAGCGGCCGTGGTTTGGGAATCCCGCCATGGTTTTGCGGCAGCTCTAGACGCCACAAAATACTTGAAACTGCACTTGCAAAAATGTTTACAATCTTGTCTTAAACTTTAATGGCACTTATAGTCTTTGTCTTTTGAAGGTCCCACTAAGTCACTAAGCTTTCTCAAAGCATAGTATTTATGCGCAAAGTAAAACGCTTCTAACCTTTTGGTTTTACTTTTACTATTCTACTTCCCTATCAATGTTGAATCTATTTTTGATGTGGAAAAAAACTAAAGATCTACTTTTCCGTTGGTTTATTGACGATTGTAGATTTCATAACCATGGTCTTTATTATCTTTAACCATTACCAGAATAGGTTTTGAAATTGGCATATACTCGGTAAAACAACAATCATGTTTAGTGTGAATTAATTTTGGTTACCAAATCATGTAATATTTTTAATATTAGTCATTTTACCGGACAAAATTTCAGATATACGTGTAATCGATGTCGTATTATGCTTTAAAACAACATTAATTCAACGAACATATTTTCAATATATTGTCATCAAAGCTCCACATAACTGAATCATATTCATTCTTCTGCGAATAAAATTTACAATAACATTGGTAGGATTGAAGCATTCAGATAATGAAAAAAGTCTAAATCTGTCTTGGGAATGTGTGAATTCTCCCAAGAGTCATTTAATTACGATGTATTTTTTATCTAAAAAAACTAACGGTAAATCCTATGGGGTTATATTGTCAATTGTCTTGTCAACCGCGTCTACCATTCCAATAATAATGTCTCAAATAAAATGTGTTTGAAGCCGAAGAATTGTGACGGTATTCGCAATATATTTGAATCGTTTACACACGCGCGTCACTGAAGTGGGTCGATTTTCTGTTGGTTGGCTTTTTTTAACATCTTCGAAATATATTGACAATATTATTAAACATAATGATTTTCAGAATTCAGAATTTGGCCAATATTTGTGGTGTTTGATTAGGTAAATATAAGAACTATTTGATGCTCCCCAAACAATAAAAATTTCAAACTCGGTTGGGGTGTTACATTTTGTGTATAATTTATTTTACTGTCAATGCCGATTCTACATAAATTTGAAAAGGTATACACCATCATCACTACATATCTGGACGGTCTCTTATGAAACAACCTGGGCAGGTCAACACCACAATGAATCACATTCACAAATCAAAACAACACCGTTTCAAAATAATGAGAACAGAATTGGATTACGAAATAAATATTTTCCCCGACGGCAGTAAGTAAATAACAACTGTCAGTATTGTCCCGATTCGCGTGGCGTGTTTTTATGTAATACCACAAACGAACTATTGTGAGTGACTATTATTGGCATTTAAAGTTTAGCAAAATGGAGATAAATCTCTAAAGCTCTTCCGTTTTGTTAATCTCTACACAACAGCGCCAATACACGACCTACGAAGCGAAAACGTTGATATTTGTATTCCACATAGCGTGGACCTTAGTTGGAGTGTACCCCATTGTAACAACGTATGTTTGGTTCAAGCCATTGTACTCCAAACTCGGCTAACATTTAGTGTCTGGGTCATCCGTCATTTGGTTGTGTTGATTTAAGTTATATCAGACTGGATAGTTTGCATCTATTTCTGGCCTTAGTATCTTATCGTCAACGTATTTATAGAAGGTTTGATAGTTTTCATGACAACTTATATCATAAAATTTACGTTTTTCACATTTAACCATCGAATTCTTTTCATTTGAAAGATTGCCTTTCGTAATTTATTGCATTACAGCACGCTATTGTGATTTTTCAAACTCGACGTCAAAAACGTTTTCTCAAAGATTCCCAACGATAGTTGCTAAAACAAAATGGAAGATTTGCTGTAAATTGTAGAAACAAAGTGTTTACTGATCGACTCCCATATCGTTGACGAGCTAAATCACAGACTCATTGATGAACAACCTGATAAAATACCATCTAACGTAAACAAGATGCTGCACCGATTGCAATGTTCAATTATATACGCTTTGCGTATGACGATATTACCAATCTTTCAAAAATAATGTACTTATCATAAGCGTACTATCATAAATGTACTTGTAGTGCACAGAGAAATATACAAAGAGTAGTCCCATGTCTTTGTCTGCAGATGTCTCATACTTTGAACATACACGGCACCAAGCACCATTGAGACATTGGGGGTAAATGGGTTCTAATTAGTTTGCGGAGGAGAATATTGGGAGAAATGTATATGTTGAGTTGTCTAGTCTAATCTGAAACGTGAATCAAAAATTTATGCATAATGTACTAGTTATTTATTTAGTAGGATGACACATACGCCATATAGAACTTTCAAAAACAAAACATTTTCCACGCGTAGTTCTTACAATGTATTCAACAACTAATTGAATGGTTTTATTTTTCCTCGTACATTGTCAGTCTTTATTATTTAAAGGTATGACTCAATTACCTGACATTAAGATAGAATCAGAACCGACGCTCAACGCAAATTTTTAACATAATTGCAACATTCACTCACAATCCAACATATATCAATTATAAATTCAACTACTTTTGAGTAACTGTTACGAGAAATTTGCCAATCATGCAAAGCAAATAAAGCGCACAATCGAGAAAACGTTTTGAAATTCTTTATTGTTTTTCACTACAAAACGGTCTATTTTACGCTTTCCCAAGTATATACAATATCACGTGCAGACAACTAGTAATACGTTCCGATCCCGATCAAATATTTTTATTGAATATCAGCAAATGTATAGGCATAGAAGTGAATCTTTTGAAACTCCGCCCAAATTTGTTTTATTCAGAAAGATCATTTACAATAACTCCAAAATGCATGTGGATCATACGTAAATTTTTACAGAATAAAGTTTCACCGATGGGTAAGCGCCCCACGCGGCTGGACGTATGACTGATTCACGATGAACAGAAACGGAATATCTTCTTTCCTTTTTGCTTCGTCGAAGCGAGACTTCGAAAACAATAGACGCATACCATTTTTACGGGGCTCTACATTAATTCTATTATCTTAATTGTTTCATTTGTTAAGAGACAATCGCAAATCAATCCGTAGTCTTCGCAGATTTGGCAAAAACACGATTCCAATCCGTGTTAATCTATTCAATTGAAGTGCTCCATGGTAAGATGTACATGTTTTGCATGGTTTTTGCGTTATAACCCGTTATGTTTTCGTTCGATTTTTTAATATTCTTGTATATAATTTTGTTTACAAAAGCCGGGATAGTTAGGACAATAACATCGCCTTGTACCGACCGTGAGAACGAGTGTTTTAGTTTTTTTACACGTTCCAGAATCTACGTCTAATAATACTCATCCTGGAGTTTTTCACTAAATGGTTCCCTAGTTTAGTTCATATGAAATATCCAATTACCATTGTTGTCAACGGACGTCTCCCTGTCTACCGTCGCCTTCCAGTAGGAGACTAGAAGGAATAAAATAGGATGTAGTATACATGTGTGTTACGGTTTCAGCAAGAATTTTCAGCAAATAGTTGAAAATTATTAGTAAATTTTGTTGAAAAAAAAGGGGCACAAGTAATTACGCAAGAGTCAGAAACTCACTTGAGTAGAGTCGTGATTTCTAAACCCCGAGAAAAAGTTGAAAGATCAATGTAAACAAAAAACATCAACTATACCCCATTCACAAACAAGCCAAAGAATTAGTGATTTCAGTTTTAGATAATGAGTAGTAGTCGTCTCAACAATGAGCGGAACTGGGGCCACTTCTTCTAAGATTTTCAATCTTTTCCAACTTGACAATTTATCATTGGTGTTTCGCGTTTGGTGTGTGTTTCCCGCATAATATCTAAAAGTGACAGTTGAATACTGTAATGGTGAATAGTTTGACTGACTAAGCTTAAACTTTGCGTTAGCGCTTTAACTCGAGTTTTGAGAGTTTTATTCATTTTCGAGGTAGTTTTTGTGACTTTGCTCATGCGGAGACAGAAATACAGGAGTTTTTTTAGACAAAATATTCATTTAAAATAAGAATTCCTAACAGGGAATTAGAGTAAGAATAGATCCAAGAATTTTGGATATGGATTACAAATTTCTGAAGAGAGAAAGATTTTGAATATTCATGATATAAACACCAAGATCCAATGGCGCACTTGATTAAATACTTAGTGTACGTCTACTTCCAATCACTTTCAAATTTCCATGTAAACTAGAGTTATAAAATGTTTCTAAATATGTTCGTTGATTTTGAACAGCAATAGACGACAAGGAATTCCTTTAGGAAACCTTGGAATAAAACATAACGATAACAACCTATCAACGAATTTTCGAAGTGAAGAAACTATTGACTATCTTGAGGTAAGTATAGTAAGTAAAGTTAATGAACATCACTATACTTGTAATATATCAGCTCTGCAAAGTTCATTATTCCCTTCAAAGACTTAATTTCAGGCTATCTCTTGTCATATATATTTAATGTAGATATTGTTTATATTGATAAAGGTCAGTTGAGATACATCGGCTAATCTGGTAAACAACAATTTTATTTTCTTGGAGTCAACTTAATGAGGAATGACTCTGAAAGAGGAAACTAAATGGATGCAATTGCAGTTTGTCCTCAAAAACATTTCGCAATATTGCTTTAATTTTCGTATCAGTTGAAAAAGATTATACAGTATTTAAATTTTAGCTCGGTTAATCTTTGCCATTGCTTCTATCCAATTTCGAGGATTTTGGCATAATCTTCGACACTGGAAATATAATTATGCGGGAGCTCACATTTCTGTCTATTTAAAAAATACCCTTACACGTAAAAACTTCTTTGAGCGTATCGGATTATGTCATAATGTTGAAAAGTGTTGTGTGTGAGAAAGTCATCAACCAACTATTCGGAAACGCTATTCATAACGATGACATATTATTGTATTGTTTGCTTTAACACAATGTAGTATTAATCTCTGACAATCATAACGCATCAAAAATATAAACTCTTGCGGAAAACACTTGAAACCAAAAGCTGTGGTAAATTTTGTAAATAATATCCACTTTTTAGCAGCATTTTACGCCAAGAATTTGCACAGGAGATATCAAATACAGAAAAAGACTTGTTAATATGCTGAATATTTATTACAGCCACAAACGAAGAACGCCAGATTTTATATAAAATAGAATTTTCCATAATTTGTAATGATATTCTCAATTTGTCTATCGAGGTTTCATAGTAGTAGGAGTGTTGGGTTGTATTTAAAAAAGTTTATGTACAGTATCGCATAACGCAAAACAACGCCGTTTTTTACAGCATGTGTGAATAGATCTAAACTTTTTACAAAGAGTTATATCGCGTCAGATTTGCATTCAATATCAATAATTTAGCATGTTGGATGAAGCGAAAGACCTAACTTTCTATTTTATCGTTTTTTGACCATAATACTATTCTCAAACTAGAATAATGTCTTATCCGGAATCTTACAGAATTCTTTCGCATTTTTGAAACATATTGCCAATTTGAATATCGCAAATGACTCTATTTTTTAGCAAAACTCAAATATAATTAAATTATTTGTAAATTGAATTCTGAAATTAATATATATCAATATTTGACTGAAATATAGCACCATATATAGTAATTATCTCGATTTTACAAGCAGCATTTTCTTATTCCAAAAATGACAATTTTGAAATTACTTTAACCAATTTTTTCAATCATATCTAAACAAAACATGGCAATAAATGTCAAGTGGCACCATTTCTTCTGGCGGTGTTTTTTTAAAATAAAATGAATTGACATAAAATTGGGTATTTGAATGACTTTACATCTAGAATCCTGATATTACAGCGCAGCACCTCTGAAGACAAATTATAAATGTTTTCTTATACGAGACAGTCGGTTAAAAATAAATCTAAATAAATCTATGTCTGACAGAGATTAATTCAAATAGAAAGTTTATGATTCAATACATTTACACAGCAACAAAGGAGCGGCTAAATAAAGATAACTTTCAGAAAAAAATTCGAATAGCGGATAAATTGAAAATACTAGTTGTCGAGAATTAATTACGGAATAAACGAAAACACATGATGTCTTTTTTGAGAAGGCTGTCGAGATTTTATCATCAATAATTAGCATAACGCTATGTTACCTTTCACTTTCACATGGGGAATATTTTTAAACCTATACAGCGGCCTATTCCTGACTAATGAAGGAGAAACCCAATAAGAAAAGAATGCATTCCTTTGTGTTGGGTATTGTTGTGTGCAAACAATCAAACAAAAACGCTTTGATATTATTTTATTTTTATTTTGACGAAGCTTCAGTATTAATGCTCAACTGAAAATTACTTATTATCTGGCTAGTGATTTACCAACAATATCTACAAAGCGGCAGTTTAAAAAATAGATGTCGTTTTCATCCCAAGAAAATTACTTAATTTATATAATATTCTTGTTAGTTCACTATTTTAAATTCAGCTTTGAATATCGGATTTTTTATACAAAAACATCACTGAGATAACCACGTGACAATTTAATATGCCATGTAAAACTTTTCGTTTTTCATTCAAAACTAAAATCAACTTTGGGCTTTGCAAGATTAAACCTATTAGAATTACTAAGATATGGCGAATTAAATGATATATTATTTATATTTCCGTTATTGCAATTTTGATTAATAATTTTAATTTTTATATATTTATAGAAATTTATTGATCAAGCAAAAAACAAACATCAAAATGAACTACAACACTGTCATCGTACTTTTTATTGAAGTTTGCTGCATTTTATCTGTGAGTGGAATGGCCATCCGCAAATCCGATGAACATCAAATAAGGTAGATTATATACTAAATATCTCTATAAGTGATGTTTCTGGTTCAAATATGCATGTACATTTATTATCTGGGAACATCTATGTGTCTCATTTATAGCCCATGTCGATGTTGAATAAAACAGCGTGAACAAGTAGAGTAGTTCGTTATCCTTCGATTCCAAGAAAAATAGTGAAATTAGATGTGTTTCACCTAAAACGTTGAATATTTTAGCAAAAGATCAACATCCGCCGACCACAGTATCACAGATGCCAAAGGACGACACAGAGAAAACATCCATCGCCAATTCATCCTCAGCAAACTCCTCAGGGCTGTCGACACCAGCGGCAGCAGAGTGCCTTCAGAAGTAATCGCCAGCATGCAGAAGGAATCTACCACAGTCACACCGACAGTGATGAGCACCCGACAGGAAACCGAAAAGAAAGTCCCGCGACGACGAGGCGGCCGAGGACGCGGCAGAAAATCAAAGCAAAATGGCGTCCCCCGATCCGTAAAGAAATCGATCGAAGTCCTTTTGAGAAGCGAATATGCTGACGAAATCATCAATTCAATCGACAACATTGTTGAAAAAGATGGAAGTTTAAAGAAAGCAGCTGCACGAGTCCGTAAGTTCATTAAAAAATGCTCTAATAGCAACCTATGAAGAAAACTAACAGACAAAATGCATGAATATTACGATCGCGTAATGCATATTCCATCACACAGCATGTAAAATAAAAACGAGCATGCGAACTATTTTTGTAACCAATGTCAAAATTGACCATTGAAATATTTACTGTCAGGATGAATCAATTAAAATTGTCTCATTTGATGTCATTTCAAATAAGACAATAGCCTGACTGAATATATTTTGATGGTGGTTATGACTTAACATCTCGAATGTACATATTCGAGAACATTCAACCACTCGGTGCGACTAGTTCCACCACAACGTAGCTTAGTTGTAGTTGAAGCCTTTACTATTTTTTCCTCAATGCACTTCAAGTTTTTGCCACTCAATTGTCTTTTTATTTATATGCAATGTTTCTCTGCTGTGATCTTTGTCGTCCAGGTCCAATACCCGTTACCACGGGTGTGTAACTATCCGAATTAGGAATCTTACTAACCTCTGGTAAATTTAAAATACAATCTGAGACAATCCACAAAGATTCCAATTATGACAACTGGATAATGCGATTTATCATTGTAAAATCCATCATTTGGTGGATATAACCAATTATGTAAAAAAATTTAGAGAAAAGCAGTTCATGAAATTATCATGAATCGCGGTTGTATAACATCAATGTTCAAGTTTCTGAAACTTATCCATTCATTTTAATATAATTTAGAGCTAATCTACCCCAGTAAACAAGGATAAATACTGCTCGATGAATTTTTGTTGATGTGTTTTATTGTCTCCATATATGTTTTTGTTTCAAGCACTTTTTATATACTTGTATGCATATTTAACGTGCACCTGACCTGTGTTTATTTCCAAACACAAAATTTGTAAATATTTTTTAAAGATAACTAGCTTGTAAATATTCCTTCACACATAGTGAATATTATAGTATTACAACTTATTTTTTGTTTGAGAAAATTTGATAAGTTTTGGATTGACATTTTCTAATCCGGTAGTCACGAGTTTGGGCCAAAATGAATCACATCTTCTCAACATAGAATTTTGACAAATATAGAACACATTCATCATGTATGACTGAATATATTTAATACTTTCTTAGATTAGTTTTGGCCCAATCTTGTTTATACTGGGTTACACTGCTCATCAACCTTCAATTTGAATTTAGTTTTATATTCATAGATTTAGGCCTTAGTTTTTATTTATTCTTCTTCATATATTTGTTCAACACTGCTTACTCTGTAAGCTTACCTACACATGTTGAAGCCTGTGATTAAAACATGAATGTGATAACTTTAGCTCACTTTTGCATTTTTACATTTGTTTTTAAATATATTCCAGAAAAAAACACCAGATATTAAAGCCATATTGTGTGAAATATTAAACAAAATGTTGTTCTTTTTTGAAAGCATGTGGCTCAAAAATGTTTAAGACTCTATATAGCCAATTCCCAATGATTCGCAGGCCCATCTTCAGTGGTTTGCAAGGATTTTGAGAATTTAAAGTTTATTGACTTGAGTTTTCAATGTCCGTTTCATACAATTTTTTCAATTCCGATATATTACTTCATATATAATCATAATGTATAATTATGAAAAAACAGATTCAATTTAATTTTTTGATATTGGTGTTCGTGCACCAATGGTTAAAATATTTATGATCTAAATGGTTTATCATAAATTGATTATGTGTCTAAGTCAATTTACTCAATTTATTTTCAGCGTTGTGAAATTTACTTTTTTGCAAGTACTTGTGAAAAAGAAGTCGTACCAAGAATGTTGCAAATTTTGTTGGTATTTTTTCGTTTATTTTACCTTGTCTCCTCCATTCTAAATTCAGAAGCATGCCATGCATGATGCAAGGAATTCTATATTATGACCTTGATCAAACATGATGATCAAGCAGATTTCTAATGAAGAAAATATTGTGATGACAACAGGTTTTTCAACCTGGTATTTTTATAATTATGCCATGTAAATATACTTTTGTAGGGTAATTTTGATTAAATTTGTAGTTTTTTAGTACATCATGGAGTCATGATTTATTAGTGTTGCATGATATTTAGAGATAAGTTGATTAATTTGTTAAATAATAGTTTAATTTTACACAACTTTGCATGCACTAGACTAAGAGCACGGGTCGCCAACCTTTAGCATTGAAAGAGCCATTTGGCATCTTCCAATCAAACTCAAACCTACTCGGAGCCGCAGCATCTTCTGTAATATCAGTGGCTGTTAAACTCCCGGAAAAACACTTATGATGCAATATTTTAGTTCTTATTGAGAAGGAGACAAATGAAATCCCAATGATGCAATAATTCTGTCAATGACGAAATGTTGTTAAACTCCCGGAAAAACACTTATGATGCAATATTCTAGTTCTTATTGAGAAGGGGAGACAAATGAAATACCAATGATGCAATAATTCAGTCAGAGACGAAATGAAAAGGAAAGTTTGTTTTGACAGACTTGAATCACTTTAGATGCGACCCATTTTACTGATCGCGTCTTTGGGAGCCAACCGTTGTGATGTGTAATTAGTAAGGAGTATTTGGCTTTATGTCTCCTCTTTCAGTGAATTCCCACTGCTCCTTACAAAAAACTGCCATACCCACCTTGATTCACGGAAGCTAGAGCTCCGAGAATAAAGAGCCACATGATACTTCGGAGTAAGCACTAGAGTAAGTAACATCAAACACAAGTTATGGACCTATTCCCCACGTCGGCGAGAATAGCAACTATATATAATATGCTGCAACTAAGATAGTAAAGTAAGTTTTATTAATGATATTCCTAGAAAAGTTCACGAACTCAGGTCAGGCAAGAAAACTTAATGCCACAGTTGAGCTTCTTCGGAAAACATCCGAGTGCTTGAAAAAAGTTTAACAAAAATTAAAAAGCAATCGGAATATTACAATTTTCAAACTTGTTATAGAGTTCCAAGCTTTTCGCAGGATCTACGCCGGAAAAGTGGTACGCTCAAGTTTTGCTAGTGTCGACAGAAAGTGGTGGTATACGCATGTGCATGAATTTGTAAGGCTCGAATATTCAATACTTTCATAAACGTAGCAAGATAAATTTTTTCATTTGTTTTATATATTTCAAATTACATAAGCGGGAGCAAATAATAATTTCAAACATGTGTTCCAAATGAAGGAACTTTTCAGGCATTTCGCCATGATTTTTTATTTCATGGAACAAAAAGTGCTATAAATATAAACTAAAACTGTAAAAATAAATTTATTTCTTTTCAGGCAACAACGATTCGTTCTAGATTGGAATGAAACAGTCAGATGAAGAACCAGTTTCGAATGTCTTCCACCTCCACAATTGCCAGATTATGATGTATATATATATATATTACGGCGCTAAAAATGCATATGAAAAACTCGGCTTTATGTTGTTACTGAGAGCCATTATTGAGTCAGTTCTTTAGAAGAAAAGTTTTACTGGAACGAGTAAATGAGGCATCAGGCCTTTTTGAGCATTTCTATCATAATAGCCTCCGTACCTGAGCAAAAGAATATTTACTTCATTGCGCCATCTGCTGCATGGTTTCAAAACTACATCAATGTGAATGTGGGGACAAGATTTGGATCAAAAACTATACATCTTTCACAAATAACAATGAGTTTTTAGGGTATATTTAGCATATGTTCTGTGACAAATACGTTTTTATGACAAATTGCTTCGAAAATACTTTATTTTATGTTTGCTTATCAATGAACTTTCTCTCTTGGTATAAAACCATTAAACATACCGGTTTTAGAACCCTATTCAATTCATTGCAAACCTAATTGTCAATTGTTCTTAATAGTCTGAGTGATGATCTTCTAGGATAGAATTACTGTGACATGGAAGTAGTGCGTACTTGTAAAATATGCATTCTTATTTATTATCGTACCAATTAAACTATGAAGCATTTTTTGCGAAGTGTGTTTAGTATTTGTTTAATTTTTAAAATTAAAGTTCATAGTTACGCCATTCTTAGTATAGAATTATTCAAACTTGTTTTTTGTTATGTGGGCCTCCACATATTATGTATATAGATATTTTAATAATTTTTGTAGAACCATAATTTTGCTTTAATTGTTTCTATTGATTTAAATCTTGCTGGCTGTGATTTATTGTCATTGCTCTTTCAACGTTGCAATAGTAATTACCTGTATCAATGGTAAAATGAATATTCTGCTTTATTTATGGTTATCACGCGTTGTAATGACAATTTCAGAAGGCTAGTCTTTGTTTGTTGTCGAATGTGAGGATACGGCGTGCTTTGGAGTCATGGCGTCGGGATTGATACAATTACTTTCAATGAAAACCTATGAGACTAGAATGTTGCAAGCGCAGTCGATTTCGAACATGAAATAAGACTGTTCTATGGTTTCTCCAAAACTATCAAAACTTTTGCGTTTTTTTCTGATATTATTATGGCTCAATTCTCAAAAACTGTAAGCCTTATGAAGCTCTCGAAAACTAGATCGTTAGACCAGCTACAATCAAACCTTAGTACAAAGATTACTACTCAAGTGCAAGTAAATGTGTTCTTCTACTGTTATGATAGTAAACTGTACCACCTGTTTCTATCCTCCCAAAATTACCGCCAGAAATACGAAAGTATAGACTTTGCTAGTCTGTGGAACGAAGCATGTTCGTACAATTAGCAAGGATTGGTACGTAGGTTAGCTGGTCACATGCTACGACAGTCTGCAGTATAGATCACTCGTTTTAAGCGGATGAGCCTGCTGGTTATGGAGCGAAAAGTATTCTGCCAATGGAATTTCGAATTATTAGCAAATATTGGCCGTCGCATCGTTTTTGTGATATCAAGAAATCATTAAACTCAATGGCCTGCTGGGCCAACGCGTTAGGGTTGATGAGCCTCTGGCCGGGTTCCCTTACGGCCCATATCAGAGCAATTTTTACCAATAAATTGACTTGGGAATTACCGAAGTTTGTAGTGTGCCAAACCAACAAATTGGCTTCTTGTGTTATTTGTGTCACGAGGCTGGAATTGGCGCCTTTTTAATGTTTTAGTTCTTTACGTTGTCTTGATTTCGTGTGCAGGGACTTGTGGAGTTGGAGCTCTTGTTTTGCTGATATATTGACAAATGATCGGATTGGACTATTCTTGCTTGACTCCGAGCACCTCTGTTCACGTGACTTCGTTTTAGCATGCCGTTTTCTGTCCTGTCGTCTAAGTAGGACTGGTGGATTTGTATTATATATGTCCAAATTAGTGCATTTCTGCTGGGAAATAAACTTCTTTACGTGCGTCGTCAGACTGCCAAATCTATTGTGTGGCTTTGTAGCACATGGAATCTTGGAATGAAGTGTTTTGCAAACTTGAGTAACACACTTATTTGTGAATCCGTACTGCTGCATTTGCAAAATTTAGAACCCACAATTTCTAGTGCTTACTATCTGCTTCTATTCCGCCGAACTCAACTTGAAGAGCACTCGGCTACCGTCCTCGGGACAATAAGTCTGTAAGATGACAATGGATCGACGTGACAAAAGCATTTCTGTTGTATTAGCAAAGCTTGACAAGTATAGGTCACCCCAATTTAATGTATTGCTACTGCTATAATAGTAAGAAATACCATATTCTCCATATGGCTTACCTCAGCGCGACGTCACAAACTTTGTATTATTGTTTCAGACCAATGAACCCCTACGGGTGAATGAGTCTTCAGTCAGGCAGTTGTCCCCATGACAGGAAGTTTCTGTCAAGTGTATCTTTGTTGTAATAGCTTAAAATTGGTAAGCACAATTGATTAACTTGTGATTGTCGTAAAGGGATTCTGCTACTGTTTTGCTAGTAAACATTATGACTGGTGTGGTGGGGTTTCACAAATAAGCACGCTCTCTCTGAGTCTGTAGACCAGGTGTGCACAACTCGAATGTAGATAGCTCACGTGTCAAAGTTTTCGAAACTATCTTGTTGCGTGCCACGCCACGTTTGCAAGATATTTTGTATCGTAAACGAGCTTCCGTAGAACAGATAATCAAAATAACGAGTAACTTTTTAATGAAACAGTTTATTGTCCTCAAAAACTACTGCACTGAAGACGTTCTTGATAAACCGAATTTGAAATGCTGGGCTTCAAAGGAGAAATAGCGATTCGCATCGTTGGATCTAAAGGGCTCATCTATTAACTCACTCCGTAGATTGGTTTTGTTTATTTTCATGATTGAGAATGCTTGTTCACAGCTGTACGTGCTTGAAAATTGACAAATAGCTACAATTGTTTGAGTCGTACTCAAACAATTGAACAAAAAAAGAAACAACAAATAAATGACAATACACAACAATCAGTACAGACAATTCAAGTGGAAGAGTTACAAATAAATCCAGAACCTTGTGATATCATAACACAGGAAATAGAGGAAAACCCACATATAATCGAACAACAAGACTGGTATAATGATTCCATTGACCAAGAAGAATAGCTAGTACGTTTTTAATTTTTTTTTGATTTGACTGTTTCGAACGTGGGGGCAAATTTTTGGGTAGAATAGGCCGTAAAATAATTAGTAGTACCACTTTCAGACATCATGAATGTTACCTTCCAAATTACTCACTTGACTTATAATGTTAATGGTATGAGAAATTTTGAAAAACGCAAATCAATTTTCGACTACGTAAGGAATAGGAGCAAACACAACATTTATTCAAGAAACCCATTGTGGCAGTGAAACCGATGCGAAAAATGAACAAAAGAATGGGGGGGGGGGGGGGGGGGGTAATGCAATTTGGACAACTTTTTCTAATTTTTCTAGTGGGGTTGGGATATTGTTATCAAATAAAATAGACGCAAATTTTGATGAAATACAGAAAAATGATTTTGGTCGATATATTTTAGTGAAATGGAAGTCTTTCGACGAACATTTCACATT